AAAAAAAAAAAAAAAAAATTCTCTTTGATCTACTCAAACTTTTTAAAGAATAGATTTAAATAGTAGATTATCTGGATTATGACTTCATTTTAGGGAGTAAGGTGTGTAGAGTATAGGGAAAGACAAGTCTACTTTATGTAGCAGTGAAAGTTTTCCTAGAATATAAACTAGATTTACGGCAAGCCCAAACAGCCCTTTATACAATTTGTATGCCCAATGATTAATACTGCATTTACTGAAAACAAGTGACTGACTTCAAGATGTGTTAAAGTTAAGCATCATGTTTTCCATTATCAACTTGGCAAAATTTCAGCTTTAGAAAGCTATAGCAAAACTATCCTGACTTCGTATTGTTTTACCCCAAAAAGATACTAACCCAGCAAGACTATGAGGGTTTCTTGTGGAAAGTGTTTATTGAGCTAAGAATCATGCATGCATTATATCTCCTTGATCCTGAACAAAGGCAAAGCTAAGGCTATTTGAAAAACTTAACAATGTTCCTGTGAAATGAGCCAATTGAGAGAAATCTCAAAGGAAGAATTGCTTTATCACATCAATAAGGGAAAAAGTTTCTAATATTGAGGTTTCAAGCATTAGAAGTTAAATTATATTTCAATTTCAGAATTTTTTACACTATAATTTAAATCTAAATGTAATTTAACCCTTTAAAACTTCCTGAGGTTTGTTTTTTTCTATTACACTTATTACACATCGGCTTTCTGGTGGAAGTTTTTAAGTTTCATTTTTGAAACATTTTAAGAAAATAATTTTATAGAAAATTTTGTAGTTTGTAACAATAATACCTTTATTTTCAAAGTTCTGTTTTAATTATTTAATGAAGATCAGTATAGCACTCTATAAAAAGACTAATTACAGCACATCTCAAATAATGTAAGAAGTGTATTAAATATGATACAATTAATACATTTTTAAAAAGAAAAGTTTACAAAAATAGTGTCCAGTATATGTGGAATTGTCCGATACTAGCCTCTTCCTAACTAAATAAATTGTAATCTTGATTGAATGCAAAGTTTTGGTAAATTCCTTATTTAGAGAATTAGATACATAAGATTTGTCATTTAGTCACGTATATTACCTACAAATGAATACAAATGAAGTAAATTTATTGCTGTGTGTATTTGGTAAATATTCATTGATTGGCCCCTTGGGGCCAGGTATCATGGCAGAAGCCATAAATTAGTGTAAAGATTTTTGAGGAAGTTTTGTAATGGAATTTCTTTCTAAGTTACTTATGTAAAAATAAACTTTAAACAAGTGAAAATGCAAAGTATTACCAAGACAAAATATCACCTTTAAAACTGATGTAGTTCATTAATTTCTGAGAATACCAATTATGATTAGTTGAATATACTGATGCATGGTAGAAACTTCTTGCTTCTGTAACTACAATAGCAGTTTTTGTATTTTATAACTAGCTATAAGAAAAGCCATAAATTCAACAGCAACTTAATAAAATAAAGGAAGAATAGCCAATGAATTTTTTTCCACCTTGATTTCTTCTTTTATTTTACTAATTTTTACTTTGTTTTTTTCCTAATCATTCAATTGATAAATTATATGACATTTAAGGATTTTTTCAGCTAGCTTTTAATTAATGTCCTAAAAGTTACATCGTTTGCATCAAACTGAAAGTATTTCTTTAATTTTTTAAAGGTTTACTGAAAATGAACATTTACCTTCTGAATAATTATCAGCAAAAATTATACTTGTTATATATAGCAACTACATATTGAATGATGATTCTATTTATTAATTGTTATTATTTCTGTGTGTGCAGGTTTCACTGGTCAGTTTAACAGCAAATGCCTTGGGTTACTCAGAACTTGGAGCCATCAAATCTCTCAGGACACTAAGAGCGCTGAGACCTCTAAGAGCCTTATCTCGATTTGAAGGGATGAGGGTAAGAAAAATGAAAGAACCTGAAGTATTGCATATAGCCAAAATTAAACTAAATTAAATTTAGAAAAAGGAAAACCTATGCATGCAAAAGGAATGGCAAATTTTTGCAAAATTGCTACTTTGTTGTTTTATCTGTTGCATATT